AAGATGCAAGAGAGCCCACGGTACAAGGGAGACGTAGACCTTAACCTGTTCGCTTGGGTGGTCGTGCACAGAGGCATGAGGTGGGAATGGATGAGAGTCTACAGAAGTTTTGCTTGGCGTGAGGGTGTTGCACAGTCGTAGAGCATTTCAGGATACCACAACGGTTGTCGTCTCCGTAGGCGACGTTAACGATAACGCTCCTGTTTTTCCGACGCCGTCGTTCACATGGAATGTCACTGAAGGTTCAGTTAATCTTATCGGTTTTTACAACCCATATATAAGCGGTACTTCAGGTCTAACTAACTCATCACTCGACGTCACTGCTACGGACAGCGACACTGGTGCCAACGGGGAATTAGAATACCGTATTGTGCACGGGAATATTGGTGGCTATTTTACCATTGATATGACGCCTGACAATCGGGTTTGTTCGATAGATTTGGTATTCCTTACTTTCTACTTAAAACAGCCATTGAATAGTTGCCCAAACTGCCTAATATAATACTTTGAATACGGTCTTACTGGGAAAGGTCGACAGCTCGGTCCGGCCGTTTGAGATGAGGCGAACATCGTTGCATTCTTCTTTAGACGCTGAGCTGAAAAATGCATTCCGTGTCTGCTAGACCATTCTATGAACGGTTGCAAAGCGATAAGGGGCAGTTCCGGACAGCTCTTTGGATCAGCTCCATATTGAGTATTCTCTTTCGCAAAATGACTGGAAGGGCTTTCGGCGTCATCAATGCATCGATGCTTGCCAGTAGACGCTTGCTGTATCCAGAGCTTTCCAGCGGTCACAGGAAATGTTCAGGACTTCTGGGAAAACTGAGCTCTTGTGCGTTAAAATTGAGTGGAACGCAAGCGCAGGGCTTCTATCCTCATGTGACGCGACGACTCAACAAGTCTGAGGCGCTAAAGCCCAAGAATTCACCAAATCTTCCGCCCACCACCGTGCCCCAAATGCTGCTTGGCCTCGCAGCTATTGGATACGGGGCTTTATTTTCATTATTGACGGCGGTTTTTTCTCTTTTTTCACTTCTGGCGTTTAACTCTCCATCTCCACCAAAAATCACCACCGCGTTAAGGCTGGTGTCAGAGTCCGCGACCGTCGCGCGAATCGCACGACGGATCACAGAAATCACAAATCCCTCAATCAATACTACGAGTGCTCGCCAAACCCGCCGCTATTTCTGCTTGATGGTGATGGTTCAATGACGGCGATTATGATTCTACTTGTTTCATATTCGGCCTTTCAAATGTCCAAATGAGTCACTTGCGATTAAAGCGATTTGCGCGAATCGCGCGATCGATCGCGGACTCTGACACCAGCCTGTCACATCAACTTTTGGGTTCCAAGCTCTGCTTTAAAGCACTTTTAAACGGATGATGGTAAAGATAGTATCCTAAACTGAACAAGAAACAAACTATAATCCCCTACGAAGCATACTTCAGCAAAAGGGGAAGCTGTAGTTCATTATTTTTCAATCGATATTCGATCGATAGCATGTGACCCGATAGAATTTCGACTTTTACCACGGCCCCCCTCAACCAACACTGATTCCCAACCTCATTCGAGCCCTCTGCGCAAAAACCGATATTTTCAATCGATATCGATCGATAGCATGTGACCCGATAGAATTTCGACTTTTACCACACCCCCCAATCAATACTTTAATACTTGAATTAATCGCATTTTACAAACGCAGAATTTAGCGTTTTTTTTTCTACAGAGTTTGGAATGAGCCCCATCCCAGCCCCGCCCAAGCCCACAATCCAAATAGGGCGCCTGGCCCTTCTCAAGTCAACCTAAACTTAGAACAGGAGATAGCCCGTCAAGACTCTTTATTGAACACCAGGAAGACACTTCTTAACACCACGCGTCCAGGCGCAAAGTAACCAAAAATCACACTGTAGTAATCCGCCGCGAACCCTCACTATTGAACGCCAACCTCTGTGGTTCCTAATTGGGATAAAAACACGGATAATCTTTGATTATTCGATATATGAATTACTCAGAATAGACATGCATATGAACGAAAAAGCACAAAATCTATAGAGCAGAACATCTCTATATACACAAAGAGCAAACAACCATCACAGAGTAATTACGCTGCTCGATCACTTATAGAATTCGAAGGGAATCCTGCCGGTCCCATGGCACGAGCCACACAAGCCGTAAGACTGAGCGAGATAGTAGGATTTTCAAAAATCGGATATCGCGTCTCTAGATAGAGTGATTATCCTCACATTAAGGGAAAACGAACTGATAATGAGTATATGCTCTGCGAGTACATATGTTCACCGCAAAGCGGTGCCCAAATCAACACTGTGATTCCGACCTCCAACTTCGAAGAGTACTCGCAACAGAAACCAATATAATAGTCTAATTATTCTGGCGACGCAATCAATCAATCTATAAAGTGATGAGTAAGCAAATCTGAGCCTCCCTGACAAAAACCGATATTTTCAATCGATATCGATCGATATCATGTGGCCCATTGGGATTTCCACTACTACTGCAGCCATCAATCAATAGTGTGATTCCCAACCTTATTCGAGCACCTCTGCGCAAAAACCGATATTTTCAATCGATATCGATCGATAACCTGTGATCCATCCAAAATCTAACTCCTACGACACTACTACCCGATCAATGTTGCTATTCGCTTAGTAATTCGAGGCCTCTGCACAAAAACCTATGTTTTCTAAGGAAGATTCCAGCGCAAGCCCCGCCCACCTGACCGGGCTCCGCCCACTACCATACCCTTACTAACCAAGCCCTACCCTTCACCCGCTTACAGAACGCCGCGAAGGGGCAGCATTTCTGGCTAATTATTTTGGGACCAAATGCCTTAACATGTTTTTTTGGGTCTACGTAGCGTGCGAGCCCCTGGTTACAAACAGACAAACACACCAAACTGCTGCTTTATATATAAGAGGATAGAGGGGATATAGAGGGCTGAGCCTTTGTGTGTCTACTTGAAAAAAATTAAGTACTATCTAAGGAACCACCATCAGAGTCCAGGTCAAGTTCGGGATGGGTAGAGAATGAGTCAGGCTACAGGGGCAGACATGGACCATGGGAAACTCCGCCCACAGTGGGCGGGGCATGCGTCGAGTTAGGAGCAGCCGATGGGCAGAATTTTACCACGGCCCCCAAATCAACACTGTGATTCCCGACCTCATTCGAGCCCTCTGCGCAAAAACCGATATTTTCAATCGATATCGATCGATAGCATGTGACCCGATAGAATTTCGACTTTTACCACGGTCCCAAATCAACACTGTGATTCCCAACCTCATTCGAGCCCTCTGCGCAAAAACCGATATTTTCAATCGATATCGATCGATAGCATGTGACCTGATAGAAATTTCGA